CCCCCCGCAGCAGCACCTCTCTCTGTTCCAGGTCTGGGGCATCGGCTGGGCGGACCGGGCCTTGTACTTCCGTCACGGCGTCACCCAGAGCGAGCTCAGCGGGAAGACGTGGAAGGCCATCGTCGCCGGCCGGGAGTGTGACGGCTCACACGCGGGCAGCTTGTCCAGCCTCCTCAGGTGATCAGGCGGTGGGGCTCCGCAGGGTCGGTCCGGGGTGGGGGGCCGTGTCGGAGGAGGCTGCTGCCCGGCCTCACCCCAGGCGGGAGAAAAGCAGGTCCCGACCCACGAGAGCCGCGGCTGTGTGGCCTTCTCCCTTCCTGTGCCTGGGGTCCTGCTCGGCCCGAGGTCGGGGGCAGCACGCGGGAGGCGGGAGAGGGCAGCTGGGCGAGGCCAGGATGTCCTCCCATGTAGGGGCTGGGGGCTGTCCCAGAGCAGGGCTGGCCTGTTGGTCCTGAAGCCTCAAGGTCTGGGAGACAAAAGCCTTCTTTGCGGGAGGATGCTCAGGCCCCTGTGTTAAAGGAAGGCAGAGAAGAAGATGGAGGGTTTCTAGCCTGGAGAAGAGGCCCTGAATTAAGACATGCACCAGAATCACCTGGAGAACTCGTTCCCGAGGATCTCCACGCCCCGCCCCCAGAGCTACTTTTTTGAGATTTTGCATGTCTTGCAAGGTCCCAGGTGTGCTCCTGCTGCAGTTCTGGGGACCACGCCTTGAGAGCCCTGGGGTTAGAGCGTGTGGACCCATCCCAGCCCTGCCCACTGGCCCTTAGAACGCATGCAGGTGACTTAGCGTCTCAGCTGGGGGCGCCACCAGCGCTCACCTGCCCGGTCATGGGGCCCAGGGCCCTCGGCACAGCACTCTGCAGCCGGCTGCCGTCCGATTGCAGCTTGGGCCCCCCTCAGACGCTGGTCCACACCCTCTGCTCCCCCAGCTTGGTGGTCAGCGCTCAGCTGCACCGTCAGCCTAGAGATGCCCGGAGGCTGGCCAGGCAGGGTTTGCTCACATTCACCTGAGAGTTTAGGCTCTTCAGCTGGTCGTTCTCAAAGGGAGCAGCACATTGGGATCAGCTGAGAATTTCCAGAACCACTGACGCCAGATCTTCATGACCTTGGGCTTGGCAGTGGCTTCTTTTTATATATAAATATATATATATATTTTAACATCTTTATTGGAGTATAATCGCTTTACAATGGTGTGTTAGTTTCTGCTTTATAACAAAGTGAATCAGCTATACATATACTGGCAGTGGCTTCTTAAATATGACACCCAAAGCACAAGAAACTAAAGAAAACATAAATCAGACTTCATCAAAATTTTAAAATTTTGTGCATCAACGGACACTATAAGAAAATGAAAAGACAATCCACAGAATGGGAGAAAATAGTGGCAAATCATATATTTAACAAGGTCTGTTATCTAGAATACATAAAGGGCTCTTACAACTCAAAAACAAAAAAATAAAACAACTCAACTCAGAAGAGCAAAGGACTTGAATAGACATTTCTCCAAAGTAGATATACGAGTGGCCAACAAGCACAGGAAAAGATGTTCAACGTCGTGGGACATGAGGGAAATGCAAAGAAAACCACATTAAAAAAAAAAAAATCCACATGAGATACCACTTCACACCCACCAGAATAGCTGTAATCAAAAAGGGAGACAGTAACAAGTGTTGACAAGATGTGGAGAAATTAGAACTCCCCTGCACTGCTGGTGGGGTGTAAAGTGGGGCAGCCACTTTGGAAAACAGTCTGGCAGTTCCTCAAGAAGTTAAAGATAGAGTCACCATAGGACCCAGCAAATTCACTCCTAGATAGATACGCAGAAGAACCGAAAACATGTTCAAACAAAAATTTGTACATGAATATTAAAGAAGCACTATTCACAATAGCTGAAACATGGAAACAATTCAAATGTCCATCAATGGATGAATAAAACATAGTGTTATCCATGCAACGGAATATTATTTAGCAATACAAGGGAATGAAGTGTTGACACATGCTACAGCACGGATGACTCTTGACATCTTACACTAATTGACAGCAGCGAGTCACAAAAGGTCACATGCCGTACGATGCCGTTTATATGAAGTGTCCAGAACAGGCGAATCCATGGAGACAGAAAGCGAATTCGTGGTTGCCAGGAGGTTGGGGGAAAAGAGGAGGCTAGAGAGTGACTCCTTAATGGGTACAGGGTTTCTATGATGAGATGAGAAGGTTCTGGAAATTGGTAGTGGTTGCACAACATTGTAAATGGTACATTTTACATCACATGTATTTTACGATAAAAACTAATAATACTGCCAGATCTCCACCTAACATTGATTTGGTTGGTCTGGGTGTGGCCTGGGGACCTTTCAGAGTTCCTGAGGGTGGGACTTCCCTGGTGGCGCAGTGGTTAAGAATCCACCTGCCAACGCAGGGGACACGGGTTTGAGCCCTTGTCCGGGAAGATCCCACATGCCGTGGAGCAACTAAGCCCGTGCGCCACAACTACTGAGCCATGCTCTAGAGCCTGCGAGCCACAACTACTGAGCCCTCATGCCACAGCTACTGAAGCCCACACACCTAGAGCCCATGCTCCACAACAAGAGAAGCCACCGCAATGAGAAGCCCACATGCCGCAACGAAGAGTAGCCCCCGCTCGCCACAACTAGAGAAAGCCCACATGCAGCAACGAAGACCCAACGCAGCCAAAAATTAAAAAAAAAAAAAAAAGTTCCCAGGGGTTCCAGCTCCCTGGGGAGCAGGTACTGGTGTGTGTGGCACAGAGAGGCCATGACTTGGCCAGGGGTCACACAGCGCATGGTCCTTCCCCGAGGGAATCATGGGTCTGCCCCTCTCCTTCCAGCGCCGGCTGCTTCTTTGGCGACGAGGTGAGGGGTGGTGGTGAGTCCCGTGTGCCAAGCGACTCGGAAGCCAAGAGACCGGGGCCTGACCCTGAGCATGACGTGGAGGTCGCCGGCCCTGCCTCCGCCCCGGCCGAGCTGCCCTGGACCAACATCGACCTGAAGGAGCCCAAGAAAGGGCCCAGCCATGCGGCCGCCGACTTTCCCGAGGCCACCAACCTCTCCTCACTGGCACTTCTCCCGCTGGGCCTGGAGGAGCCCGACAGCACCAACTGCCACGCGCTGTGGGCCTGGGTGTCCGGAGGAGGCTGTGCCGTGGAGGCCCACACCACACTCAAATGGTTCACCGTCCACTCGGGTAAGGGCAGCGGCCCAGCGCCCCAGAGGGTGCCCCAGGGGAGGTGGGGCAGGCCTGATGCCCCCACCGTGCTCAGCCCATCTTTCTGGAGCCTTCCAAGACCAGTCCAGGCTGTCAGGAGGAAGAGCGTGGGCCTGGAGCCCCTTCCCTCCCCCTGTCCCAGCAGTGGTGGCCATTCTAGGCTGACCTGGGGGACATCAACTTTCCCATCAGGGTGAATGATGGGAGGGAGGGCTCACGGGACATGTTACAGAGATGGTAGCTTTCTAGAAAGAAAGGGCTGGTGAAAAACAGAGCAGAGAGGCCTGGCCTGCTGCCCAGCCCTGAGGCTCCGACCGGCCCGCAGGCCTGTCCGCCTCCATGCAGATGCTCTCGCTGTCCATCACGCCGGCCCAGACCGCCGCCTGGCGGAAGCAGATCTTCCAGCAGCTCACAGAAAGGACCAAGCGGGAGCTGGAGAACTTCCGACACTACGAGCAGGCCGTGGAGCAGGTGGGCAGTGCCCGGGTGCACTTTTTCCAGCACACATTCATTGAGCACCTGCTGCATGCCAGCCCTGAGGTAGGTGGGAGGGACACAGATGGATGCAGCCATCCTTCTGTCTGTCCATCTTGGATGTGAAGCCGTCCCCTCCAGGCCCGTGTAGAATCAAAGATGAAGCAATGAGCCCGTTTGTTGATTCACTTGCCCTCAAGAACTCCGTGCGGGCCCCACTGCATTGTAGGCACAGAGGACCTGGCTGCGTCTCGGGTGGCGTGGGTCCCGGCTTTGCCGCTGACTCTCTCTGACATCAGGCCAGGCACAGAACCTCCCGGGCCTCAGTTTCCCTATCCAGAGCATGGGGTAACAGTGCCGATCCCACAGACTGTTTGAGAATCATAGAATTCGCTGGCTCAGGGCCTGGCGGTGTCTGATGGCGTCACTTCTGTCCTTAGGGTGAAGGGGGGTAGCCAGGAGGGCCGGGCAGGAGCCCCCAGTGTGGCAGTGAAGGGAGCAGAGTGGCCCCGGGGTGCCGGGGACTGGGCCGGAGTGTGGCGCCCCAGGGCCTGCCTGTGACCTGTCCCACCGTCCCGCTGTGCTGCAGTCGGTGTGGGTGAAGACGGGGGCCCTGCAGTGGTGGTGCGACTGGAAACCCCACAAGTGGGTGGATGTCCGTGTGGCCCTGGAACAGTTCACGGGCCACGATGGGGTTCGGGACAGCATCCTTTTCATCTACTACGTGGTCCATGAGGAGAAGAAGGTGGGTGGGGGCGCCAGCGGGGAGATGCGGGGGGGGGGGTGTAGGCGAGGAGGGAGGTGCAGGGGTGGGGTGTGTAGGGGAGGGGGGAGGTGCAGGGGGGTGGGGTGTCCCAGGGGAGGGGTTGCAAAGCCGGGGTGCAGGAGTGGGCACGGGACACGGGCCCCGAGATGCTTGGCCCAGGACAGCGTGTGGCATCTGCAAAGCACCCGTCCGCGGTGGCAGCAGCCGGGCAGTGGCCGGCAGGCGTGTGCCGGCCTCACCCCCAGCAGCTGTTGAGGGGCCCTCATGTTCCAGATAAGCAACCAGGCTCTGGAAACAGAGCCACCCCCTCCGGGGCTGGGGTTTGAACGCAGTCAGTCTGGCTCTAAATGCCGTCGTCCACATCGAAAACATCACTAAGGCCCTTGCTCACGAGCAAGGCCTCCCCATCAGAACCTGCCACCCACCACTAAACCCCGCAGGCCCGGGACCCCCAGGGGTCGGCTCTCGAATCAGGGTGACCCAGCCGTCCCCGTCGCCACACCACACGAGGGCTCCATCCAGGGGCCCGAGGCAGCCCCAGCCCTGCGGGTTCCCCGGTGACGGCCCTGCTGCCTGTCCTCTGCCAACAGTACATCCACGTGTTCCTCAACGAGGTGACGGCGCTGGTCCCCGTGCTTATTGAGGCCAAGCACTCCTTCGCCGTGTACACCCCCGAGAGGACACGGCAGAGGTGGCCTGTGCGCCTGGCCGCTGCCACCGAGCAGGACATGAGCGACTGGGTGAGCGGGCGGGGGTCCCGCGGGCGGGCATGAGGGAGCCTCAGTCTTGGGCGCCCAGCCTCGCTGACCGGCCATCCCCCCGCCGCAGCTCGCCCTGCTCGACTTGTCCTGCTGCGAGAGCCGCAGGGTGCACGGCCGCCCCTCCCCGCAGGCCATCTGGTCCGTCACCTGCAAGGGGGACATCTTCGTGAGCGAGCCCAGCCCAGACCTCGAGGCCCCCGAGCACTGGCTGCCCTGTGACCAGATGTGAGTTGGCTGCACCTGACGGAGCTGGGGACCTGGCCCAGAAGGTCACCCAGAGCCCGTGAGGACCAGGGGGACGTGGGTGAGGCTGGGAGGCCCTGCACGGGAGGGAGAGGGGATGTCTGTCTGCCCTTCGCTCGTCCGCTCTTGGTGGCCCTGTGTGCCGGGCGCCCAGTCGGACGAGTTGCCTCCGGACAGTGGCAGGGCCTCCACCCGCAGGAGCGCGCCCCAGGTGGCAGCTGGACCCTGCACTCCAGGAGGCCGTGCTGACCCGAGTGGTGGCCCCTCCTGGTCTGGCGTGACGCGCCCGTCCCAGACCCCAGGGTGCAGGGGGGACTCAGGCTGCTGACCTCGCTCCCGTCTGCCTAACTCCAGGGATCAGGGGCTCTTGAAGCCCCCGCTCGCTGGGGGCCTGACCGGCTCCTGCACCAGCTCAGGGTTCGCCTTAGCTGGTTAATTCCCAGTGGGAAGCCAGGCGGGTTCCCTTGTGCTCAATAGAGTCTGTCATTGGAGGCCGAAGGTGAGTGAAGCAGGACGTCCGGGAGGCCACGGAGCAGAGGGGTAGCCGCTGGAAAGCCCTGCGGGACAGTTTCTCCCCTCCCCTCCCTCCCTCCTCATCTCCAGGTTCTGGCGGCAAATGGGAGGCCACCTGCGGGTGGTGGAGGCCAACAGCCGGGGCGTGGTGTGGGGCATCGGCTACGACCACACGGCCTGGGTGTACACGGGTGGCTACGGCGGAGGCTGCTTCCAAGGTGAGGGTGGCAGGACCGGCTCCCCCAGCCCTGCCCCCAGCCTCCCGCACGGGCCGGTCCCCCCTCTAATCCCTGGCTGGCTTCCCTGCCCCACGCCGGAGCCGCTGCGCCAGTATCGATGCTCAGCTGACAGCTGGCTGACAGGTGACCTTCACCACTGCCAACCTCCAAATCCCGGGGCCAGCGCACAAAGCGTGAGAGCCCAGAGACCAGGTCTCGCCCCCAGTGGGCCTTCCTGGGCACCCACTGCTGAGCTGGAGGCCGTGAAGGTTCTAGAAAGACAGCCGCCAGGGCCAGTCTCCTGATTCCCAGGCCTGGATTCCAGCTCCCCTTTAGATGGGTTGTGCCTTAGGGGACGAGAGCTTGCTGAACCCCTGGGGGCTCCCCGAGTTGTGGAGGTAGGGTCCCTGTGTCTCCTACTGGTAAACAGAGGCAGAAACAAACACCGAAGTGGGACATTCCATGCCCCAGCCCACACGCCCCACAGTGGAGGTGGCTAATCCTGTAGAACTGTGGTCCACTGAGACCCCAGGAAGGCACATCCGTGCAGGTTTAACAGCTTCCCTGTTTGTGAGGCAGGAATTGCTCTTGTCCCCGTCCTACAGGTGAGGAAAGTGGGGCTCATGGGCTTACACGAGGGGTCCAAGGCACCTTTGTTAGTAAGGAATGAGCTGGGGGGGCCTCACACCTGCCCAGTGCCAGGTGAGTGGGCTGGAAGGTGGGGGAAGAGGAGCAGGTGAGAATAGGGCGTGAGGTGGAGGAGTGTCAGATTCTTGCCACCAGGACATGCAACCCTGGGTAACCCCAGAGGAGCTCAGCCGGCCTGTGAATCCTCTCGGCCCTCTCTTCCCGCCTGCTTTCACCTGGTCGGGCGGGCAGGGGTGGCCTGGGTCCAGCACCCTCCTCTCCACCCCCAGGCCTGGCCAGCAGTACCAGCAACATCTACACGCAGTCGGACGTAAAGTGTGTCTACATCTACGAGAACCAGCGCTGGAACCCCGTCACGGGCTACACCAGCAGGTGAGCCAGTCGCGCGCCCGCGGAAACAGGACCGAGCTGAACGGGCGCATCTGCTGTAGCGGGAGAGCTGGCGTCTGGCCCCAGATGTGGAACTGACTGGATCTTACCGCTTAGCAGGATTTTCTCCCTTAAAGTATAATGCGTATTTTAAAAACTCGCTTACTGAGAGCATGACATACGTAAAGTGCGTGAAACATACACATATACGTACATACGGTGCGATGTATCTAAATATGTTGGTATGTCCATATATATCATTGAATTTTCACAGATCAAACACCAGCGTAATCACTACCCGGGTCACGAAATAGAACATCGCCACCTCCCTCCCCATCCCCGCTGGTGCTTTTCTGAGTGGGGTGGTTACTTAACTTTCTTACAAAGTTGTGCTTAACTGAAGTTGCTGAGAACGTCACAGCCTCCACCGAAATTATTTTAATTCTCCAAATGTGAGGCTTTAGGACAAGACCGTCAGTACGTTGTGTTTGGTGCAGAAGCGGGACGCTCTAGAAAATCTAGATTTCCTGCCCACTCAGCCCAGAAGCGTATTTCTCATACCTTGTCCTGGGGCATTTGGTTCGTTTGTTTCAGAAAGCAAGCGAGTTGTGGTGTTTCTTACCTCTTAAAGCCACTGCAGGGGTTTCGGCCGGCCAGAACAGCGGTTCTCAAACTTGAGCCTCATCCAAGCTCTGCGCTGGGGCCCCTCCCAGACTTGGCCCTGTGGGTCTCTTCTTTCGACTGGTCCCATTTCATATCCTGTATAATAAAACTACGATCCTAAGTAGAGAGCTTTCCTGAGTTCCCTGAGTCGTTCTAGCAAACTATCAAACCCGAGGAGGTAATGAGAACTGCCCCCCATTTGTAGCCAGTTGGTCAGAAGTGCAGTATGGCTGGTATCTCAAGTGGGGGCGGTCTTGCTGGGGACCGTGCCTTTACCTTGTGGGGACTGAGTGGTGTTGCAGTCCACCCAGTTGGTGTTGGAATTAGCCAGTTCTCTGCAGTGGGTGGACCTGTCCACACTCTCACAGGCAGGGCACGCCCCACATCTTTGCTGGTTTCTTATGTTTTAGACACACTGATGAGCGTGTAGTAATAGCTCCTGTTTCCAGTTTCTGTTTCCTGGGGGCTAATGGGACACAGCACCTTTCAAACATGTACTGGCACTTGGATGCCCTCCTTTGTGAAATGCCCCTTTGAGTCCTTGTCCCATGTTTTGGTCGGATGATCTCTTTTTCTTGATTTGCCAGTGCTCTTTACATATGAAGGTGTGAGCCCTTTCTCTGTTATTTCTCCTGTTCTGCAGCTTGCTTTTCACCCTGTTAGTGGTGACTTCATTATTAAATGTAGTCCTGTTGATCATCCTTTTCTTTACATAAAGATGGGGCCTTTAAAAAAACCTCTTAAGAAATCTCATTAACCCCAAGGGGATTAATACATCCTTCTATCTCTGGAACAGCAGTCAGCAAACTTTTTCTATAAAGGACCAGATAGGAAATAGTTCAGGTGTGGTGGGCCTTAGGGTCTCTGTCAGTGACTCACTCTGCAGCTGCCGCTTGAAAGCAGCCACGTAAACGAATGAGCATTGCTGTGTCCCAATAAGACGTTATACCTGGACACAAATTTGAATTGCGTAGAATTTTCACGTGTCACAAAGCATTATCCTTCTTTGAATTTTTTTCAACCATTTAAAAATGTAAAAACGACCCTTACTTTGTAGGCTGTGCTGAAACAGTCCTGATTAGGCCTGTGAGGCGTGTTTTTGTCCACCCTGTTCTGGAAGCTTTATTCCTCTGTCTTGTCCATTTAGGTCTAGAACCCCCTGGCCTGAACTACTTGGTATATAAGGTGAGGTAGGGGTAAAGTGTTTTTGGTTTTTTACTCTCCAGTGACCCACACCATTTATTGAAAAGACTGTCCTTCCCCCTTGCATCACAGCAGCCACCTTTGCCTTAACTCCAGTGTCCATGGGGGCAGTGGCCGTTCCCAAGCCCTTCTCTTCCGTGTGGCTTTGGGCATCCTCGTGCTAACCCTACATTGTTCCAGCTGCCGTCCCTTTATGGGAAGTTGTCAAAGCCTCTCATCTTCTTCATCTAGCTTTGGCTCTTCCTGGATCAGTTCTAGGTGAACTTTAGAAGCAGTCCTCAAAAGCTCTTGGGGTCTTGGTCAGGATGGCCTTGGATCTATAGGTCAGTTTGGGTAGAAACGTTATCTCACATTCCTAAATCTCCAAAATCTGGACGCAGTTCATACCTCCATTTATGTAGATCTTTAATTTCGTATTAATAGGGTATAGGGTTTTGTGATTTTCTGTAACGGGGTCTTGACATCTTTTGTAAGTGGTATTTCATATTTTTGAGTCTATGATAAATGGCACAAACTTTTAAATTTCCTTTGTGTTTTCAAAATTGATGAAAGGAAGAAATTTCAAATAACATGAAGAATAAATTCGAATCCCACCAACCAAAAATAGTAGCCACTCTCCGTATTGCGGTGTTTCCCCCTGCCCGTCCCCAGTGTGCCCGCATTTGCTGGAGGCAGGGGGACAGTCAGACATGTACAGATGGCCTGTGACAGCCTCCCAATTTGATCCCCGAGGGTGGACCTGGCTTATCTCACCCCTCCTCGGTCTTGGACATGTAGACTGTTTGTGACCTTTTGCTGTCGTCTGGACAGTTTAAAGGATTTCCTCGTGTGTAAATATTTGCGAGTCTCTCCGTTCACCCCAGTAACTTAGGGTTTGAGCCCTTCTAAGGGAGCTGATAGACGTTGCCCGCATGTGTTCTGGAAGCCTCCGCCCCGGCTGTGTGTAGGGTCCACACGGGATGCTGACCTGCTTGCCTGTCCCCTTCCTCCTCACTCCCTGCTTGGTCCTCGGGAGAAGAAAAGCAGCGCCGGGCTCCCCAGCCCGTGTAGAGATGCAAAGCCAGGGCCACAGCCGCCCGCGGAGACCACCGTGCGCTGTGTGTTGCTGGGAGTGTATCAGTCAGCCGGGGCTGCTGTAACAAAACACCACGGGCTGAGCGGCTTAAACAGCAGACGCTTATTCTCTCCGTTCTGGAGGCCGCGGAGTCTGAGATCAGGTGTCAGCAGGCTAGCTTCCTCCTGAGGGCCCTGGGGAGGATCTGTTCCGGCCTCTCTCCTGGCTTCCGGGGGCTTCCGGTGTTCCTTGTCTGGTGACTCAGTTGTCACATGGCCTTCTCCCTGTCTTCACGTCGTCTTCCCAATTTGGGAAACTTGGGTCCAGATGTCCCCGTTTGGTAAGGACGCTGTCCTAGTGGACTGGGGCCCACTAAATAACCGTCTCATCTCAACTTGATTCTCTGCAAAGACTCTATTTCCAAATGAGGTGCCACTCATAGGCACTGGGGTTGGGGCTTCAACGTCTTTTCGGGACACGATGACCCACATCATGAGAGAACAAGGTGTGGGGTCCCTCGGGTGGGTGGCCTGGCTGTGGTTGGTTGGCGCCTGGCCCCCGTGTGATGTAGGGTCCCCCCATTGCTGTCCCCGCCCTGGGGCCATCCTGTTTCCGCCCTCTTGCCCCTCCAGAGATGCAGCCGTCCCAGGGGCCTGGGCAGGGGGGCCGTTCTCCCCTCTCTCTGGTGTCACCTCAGCCCTGTTGTCCTGCGCAGGGGTCTGCCCACCGACCGGTACATGTGGAGTGACGCCACGGGCCTGCAGGAGTGCACCAAGGCCAGCACAAAGCCCCCGTCCCTGCAGTGGGCCTGGGTAAGCTCCGGGCTGGGGCTGGGGCAGGAGCTGCAGTGGGGGGTGTCTGCCCGCACTGACCCGCCCATCCCCCAGGTTTCTGACTGGTTCGTGGATTTCAGCGTCCCTGGGGGCACGGACCAGGAGGGGTGGCAGTACGCCAGCGACTTCCCTGCGTAAGCATGTCTCTCTCTGCGTGGGGAGGGGGCCTCAGGGGGCTGCGACCCTGAGTGTCAGGCCCGGTCAGCCAGGCAGAGTCCCTGCCCCCTGCCCCACAGTGCAGACCCTTCACGGTACACAGTTCATGTCCAGATGGAGGATGGAGCCGGGCGAGACTGAGCCAGGGCCTGAGCCTGGCTTCTGAGCCCCAGGCTGGTTTATCCTGGACTGATCCCCCTGCTTTGGCCTTGGGCCCTGAGCTTGACTGCTCCCCAGAAGCGTTCTGATGGCGCCTGGGGGTGGGGAGGGCTCAGAGGCCCCTTGGCTAGAGCTCACCCCCCAGCTGGGCAGCTGCCAGCCCCGGGGAGACCCCGCAGGGAGGCCCGGGCGGGGCCAGAGGCATCTGAAGCAGGAGGACGGTGTCCTCCCTTACCTGCTGCCCCCGAGCCCCCCCTTCGGCTCGCACTGAGGGCTGGGCTCTGTAACTCCTGGGGAAAGGATGTGCGTGCAGTGTCACCTTCCAGAAACTTCCACGGCATGGTCTCAACGTCAGCTTCTTCCTCTGCAGCTTGTACCACGGGCACAAAACCATGAAGGATTTCGTCAGGAGAAGGTGCTGGACCAGGTAAGGAGGGAGGTAACTGGGGGGTGCCGCCATGCCCCTCCCTGCCTCGGCCTCAGTCCCTGTGGAAGCAAAGGGGAGGTTAGAGGCGGGAGGAGAAAAGAGGATCAAAGTAAATGTCAGCCCAGGAAGTGCCCTCGGGCTCCCAGTGCTGTTTCTGAAGAGTCTGTTTTCAAGAACAAACAAGACAAATGTTGGCAGGCTCTACAGGACCCGCAGGATGGGAGGAAGGCCCGGCTGGGGTTGGAGGCCAGGCAGGGGCGGACGGCGTGAAGGGTGGTGCCCACCGGCTCCTCTGGGGGGTCGGAGGTTGTGGCCCCAGCCCTCCCCAGGGCCAGGGGCCTGGCTGCTCCCTTCTGTCCAGAGCAGACGGCCCTGAGGCTCACGGCGGCATCAGGGTGCCCGGGGCTTTGCTCTCTTTCTGCCGCACAGAAAGTGCAAGCTAGTGACCAGCGGGCCCTGGCTGGAGGTGGCCCCCATCGCCCTGGGGGACGTGTCCATCATTCCGGAGAGCCCGGGTGCCCACGGGAGCGGGCCCGGCATCGCGCTCTGGGCCGTCAGTGACAAGGGGGACGTGTTGTGCCGTCTGGGCGTGTCCGAGCTCAACCCCGCGGTGAGCACCTTGTGGGACCCAGGGCCTGCCCACCTGCCAGCCCCCTGGAAGCTCTGGCGGATTCTTACCGAGATAGGGCTCTTTGGTGGAGTCGGGCAGGGATCAGGCCTCCCCAGGCCTCTGCCCAGGACATTCCCTGGGACCGGTGGACACCGTTCGTGGCCCGAGCGGTCGCCAAGCCCTGCGGGCAGTTGGAGCTGAGGACGTGAGCTGGCGTGAGGAGCCGCCAGCTCCCGGAACCCGGGTGGGTGACAGAGGCGGGGCCCGGCCGCCCTGAGTGTCCCTCCTCCCCGCCTGCAGGGCTCCTCCTGGCTGCATGTGGGCACCGACCAGCCCTTCGCCTCCGTCTCCATCGGGGGCTGCTACCAGGTGTGGGCCGTGGCCAGGGACGGTTCCGCCTTCTACCGTGGTTCCGTGTCCCCGTCCAAGCCGGCTGGTGAGTGCCACCCCTCGGGAGGATCTCCACCTGCTGCCACCGCTGCCATGTTGTGACGGGCGCCAGGGGCGGCTGGAGCTGCTTCCGCTTCCGGGGAAGCCGGTTGACGGGTCTCCGTGTAGTTCAACAAGCATTTACCGAACACACCTGTGGACCAGGCGCAGGGGCCGCGCTGGGCTCCCCCCAGAGGCCGCCCTCCTCCGCTGGGACTGACCCAGGGGTGGTCACCTGGCAGTGGGGCTGCCCTTCACCACCCTTGGCCTCCTGCCCCTCGGGGACGGCCCTGGGCACCGGCACAGCCCGTCCAGTGTCCACCCTGGCTGCCCTCCGGGAGTGCAGGCCATGTAGGCTTGTTCTTCTCTGGACTTCTGGGCAGTGTCCGGCACAGGGATGGATGGACCGACGGGTGGGTGGGTGGGTGGTGGCTGGCGCATCGCCACCCTCCACGAGGGGCAGTGGGTTCGCACAGTGGCCCTGAGGCTGAGTCTCCACCGCATGCTGGGCCGGGCACCTTCCTGTCCCTGTTCGGGACAGCAGCCCATCATACCCCACCGTCTGGAAGCTGCCACAGCCTCGGGCGGGCCCTGGGGAGGGCACTGGGCAGGCCGGGGCATCGAAGGGACAGCAGGACACAGGTCAGCTCGCGCTGGGCCCTCTCACACTTGTGGTCCGGCCAGTCTGGGGACAGAGGCCAGCCGCACCCGCTCGACCCCGTGAGCTGCAGGGGAGGCCACGTGCTCCAGGAGCACCGGGGTGACAGTTTCGGTGCTGCATCCCAAATCCAATCTCCCATCGCAGGCGACTGCTGGTACCTCATCCCATCTCCTCCCAAACAGAGATTGAAACAGGTGTCCGTGGGGCACACAGCGGTGTTCGCCTTGGATGAAAACGGCAAGTGGTTTCTGATCCCCAGTGGTCACCAGGGGAGGTTTGGGGTTCCCTGAGTGCCCTGATGGGATGAGACCAAACCCTCGCCCACCCCAGGCCCCAACATGAGACCTTCGTAAGCCCCATGAGAGGCCGCCGGCCTGAGGTCAGCCTCCAAGCAGGCCCCTCCCCTGAGTCATGCAGGGTCGGGGGCCACCAGCCCCCCCCAGGTGCTCTGGCCTGCCTGCACCTCGGGAGGAGGACCCGGTGCCAAGGCCTGGGAGCATCTTCTAGACGGTGCCATCCAGGCCCGTGACTCAGGAGCCCCAGGGCAGCTGGGGCTGGCAGAGGTCACCTGCCCGTCCCAGGCCATCCCTGCCCCACCCCCGTGCCGCCTCCAGCCAGCTCCGCCCGTGCCCTTTAATGGTCTGTAGTTGTTGTCCCAGCTGAGCAAGGCGAGGAAAGGGCGGAATCGGGACTGGAACCCAGGGATTTTATTCCACACCAGGTCTCTTTATTGTTTAAAGAATTCCTTGTCCTCGGTTTCTCATGCATAGAAAGCAGACGAGGATGCCAGCCCAGCACAGCGGGGCAATTATGAAGTGGGGGAGGCAAACGTGGGAAGGGCAGGGCTGGCTACGGCCAGGGTCTCTCCGGCTGTGGGTCAGCAGGAGCCCCGGGCAGTGGGAGGGATGCAGAGGGAGACCCTGCCTGTCTCGTGGTCAGACCTCCCGGCCTTGCAGACCCCGAAGTGGATCCCAGCGCTCGGGGCCTCACGGTATCGGTGCTTCTCTCCTAGGGAACCTGTGGTACCGCCAGGGGGTCACACCCAGCTACCCGCAGGGCACCAGCTGGGAACACGTGTCCAACAACGTGCGCCACGTGTCCGTGGGGCCCCTGGACCAGGTCTGGGGCGACAGGGGCGGGGGGTGGGTGCTTGCCCTGGGGTCGGGGACTTGGGGGGATCCGGGTTTCTGCTCTGGTCTCCCCGCTGCCGTCTCCATGGTCCCCCTGCAGCGGTGGGGCCGGGCCTTCAGTGGGTCTGCATTCCAGGTCTGGGTCATCGCCAACAAAGTCCAGGGGAGCCACAGCCTGAGCCGGGGGACTGTGTGTCGCCGCACGGGTGTGCAGCCCCTGGAGCCCAAGGGGCAGGGCTGGGACTATGGCATCGGGGTAAGCAGGGCTGGGCACGGGGCGGCTGTGCTGGCCTGGGGCTCCGAGCCCTGAGGGCTCTCGGGTGGGAGGCCCCGGGCAGAGCCGCCCAAGAGTCCAACCGTCTAGAAGGATGGTCTCTGCCCCTTGATCCCTGGCAGCCCCGGGTCACTCCGCTCTCTCCTTTCAGGGGGGCTGGGATCACCTGTCCGTCCGGGCCAGTGCCACCAGGGGCCCCAGGAGCTCGTCCCAGGAGACAGCCGGCAAGTGGAGAAGGGAGCAGGGCCTCCCCAGTGGGCGCTCGCAGGTGGCCGGTGCCCCGCAGGAGACCCCCAATCCCGCCTGCTGCTGAGGCTGCTTCCCCTCACCTGGAGCAGGTGTGATGCTGGGTTTGAAGGACCAAGGTTGATGCAAGCCTTCCTGTCGGGAGCTGTTCTCGTGCTGAACGTGCTGAAACGTGGATCCCAGGAGTGGTGTCTCCAGGCCCAGACTCGAGACTGGGGAGGGAACCTGGCCTGAGATCATGGCCACCTTGGAGGCACTGAAACAACCCAGAAATGTGAAGCTCTGTGGACGCTGTGTGTCCCCGGCTGCGAGGAGAACGTGGGGTGTGCGGTGCAGACCCCTTCGCCCCGGCCTCTCCTGCGCGTCCCTTCCCTCTCTGCCTCCTCCCTTTCCAGGACGGGAGCCTGGAGGCTTCCAGGAGCACTGCCCCTGGGGAAGAGAGCCCACGAAGGACCCCTGAGCCCCAGGCATCCCCAGACGGCGTCAGCCCTGCCCCCTAAAGAAAAATGGTTGTGGGGCTCAGGGTGGCTTCGCCTGGACCTGATCAGTTCTCTGAGCAGGATTCGCAAACGGGGTTTCCTTTCAAAAGTTAAGGAAGGAGTTGGAAGGTTGGAAATAAGTGCTGGGGAGGGGCGTCTTCTTCCCCGGGTGGGCCGGGCCCTCCTGGGGTGGTCGGAGGATGGAGGGGCCGCCCGTGGCTGCGAGAAGCTGTCCAAGTGCAGAGTCACCGTCGTCGGTCCTCAGCCAGCCCTTCCTCTGACGGGGTTGGGGACTGGGGGCTCCTTTTACATCGGATCGTGTCACAGGGGGTGGGGAGGGTGGAGACCAGCCGAGAGGGGCCTGGAGGCCTCAGCCCGGAGCAGAGCCCTAGGGAGGCACCCACCAAGCAGCCCCACTCCCAGCGGGCAGCTTCTCGGCTGCTTTTTTTTTTTTTAATCAGAAAAAGGCCCCATTTGGTTAAGTCTCAAGTTTGCTTCCCACAGCCGGATGCGTTGCCCGGGGTCATCAGAGTGCGTGTCCCTTCTCTGCTCACTGACCGCCAGCTTCCCCGGTGTTCCCGTCAGGAGGGCTCGGCTGTGCGCTGTTTTGTGGTGCAGTGTTTGCCGCCCAGAAGCTGACTCTAAGAAGGTCTCCCTTGGGCCCCCTCCTGAGGGGCACTGGAGGGGCCGCTGGCCTCTGCCTTATCTCCTGGAGGTGGGACCGGGAGGCGTGAGTCTGGGGGCAGTGCCCAGGCAAAGCAAGTGAAGGGCCGGGTGGGCGGCGCCCTCCTGTCTGTTTACACTCGTGGTTGTCAGGTTTCTCCGCGCGGGCATTACTGTTTCTTCTGTGGCAGCGCCCTGTCGTTCTGCTGTGACTCGCTGGTTTCTCCCTGCCCTCTCTCCAGGGCGACCGTGTCCCCTCCTTGCGGAGTGCCGACTGCTGACCTGCTCAGCATCACCGAACATCTCGAGTCCTCGGATGCTTTATTCAATAAAAACTTAGGCCAGACTGTCAAGGACGCGATATTTTTATTGCTGCACTACGATTAAAATGCACAGTTCCCCACCCATTCGAGCTTGGGGCAAAAGTAGCAGTTGCCATGAAACCTTTTATTTTGGTTTCATTAGTACTTTGAAGAGGTTGTTAGGAAAAATGAAAGCAAATTGGGATCATTTAAGAAACATTTTCACCGTAATTATAGCAGGGGCACTGGCCGTTCAGTTCCAGGTAGGTTTTCTCTATAGAAAAGTCGCAGTTCTTGTTTCTCTGTCGCCCCCGAGCTCACGCAGGTCTGGTCTGCAGGTGGGTCCGTGGCCCCCGGTGCCGGCCGGGCGGCCCGGGCTCAGAGTGCGTGAGTCTCTGACTTTAGGAAATGCACAGCCTGGAAGGGTAGGGCAGGGCCTTCTTGCAGGACAGAAGCGTACAGCCTGGGCTTGGAGTCCAAGACGAGGGTCGACGGAGCGGACCTGGCAGCAGGCTCACCAGACCTGTCCCTTCACCACCCCTTTCCCCATATTCAACACCCCAAACCTGGACTGGGACCTTTAAGGCTCCTTCGTGATGTGGCCACAGGGCAGGCAAGTGCCCTCCAGCCTCGGGCGGAAAAGACTGCACATCTGGGCCCAGGCAACCCTCTGGGAAGCAGAGTGGGGGCAGATGCCAGTTTGGGACAGAGGGACAGAGTCACAAAGGCTGTTGTTCTGCAAGGTGGTGATCCACAGGCCCCCGGTCACCAGGCATGGGCTGCTGGACGGAGCCTCTGCTGGGCGCACCCCACCCCAGGCTTTCAGTCTCAGTTTGTCGGCTCATTCGGCAAGTTCAGGGATGCGCTGAGCCCTGCTCTGGCCTCAGCTTAGCCAGAACGAGAGGTGCCAGGCTTGCAGGCCTCCCTCTCCTACCACGGGCCGTGTGGGCCCCATCTGTCCCGAGCTCAGAGTTGCCTGCAATCTCGGCTCCCATTGGTGGGCCCCTGACCACTGACCTTCCCGCGTGGCCACCCCTGGGGGGCAGGCCAGGACATCTGGGGGCCCCCCGACCCATGCTGAAGGTCGGCTGGGGCGATGGGTCCAGGACCAGACCAGGCCTCCGGGGGCCACCAGGCACTGGGGCCTAGCGACTGGGGTGTTGTGGGTGGGGGGGGCAGGGGTGTCGGCTGGTGTCTGACCTGGAAAGTTGGGACTGAAGCCCCTCATGGCTCTTTCCAGGGGTGCCACCTGCTGTCCTCGACGATGCCAGGGCTGACGCCAAGCCGGGCGGGGCATTAAGTGGCCGGGGCCGGGACTGCCGGGGCGGGAGGGTGAGGCCGTACACGGAGGCTGGGTTCTCAGCTGCGGCAGCCCCGCTCCCGGCCTGGCTCAGCCCCACGCAGAGCGTGCAGAGGTGCCTGGCCCCCGACGGCTCTGTGGCAGATCTGGGCACGGGGAACCCGGCCCCATGTGCCAGGCCAACTCCGGCCTCTCCGCAGCCCTGTGGCTGGGCTTCCTACCCGAGATGCAGAGGGCCCTGTCCCCTCCCCATGTTGGCTGTGGGCAGCCGGACAAGGGAGAGGAGTTGCCAGCAGGGTTGGGAGCAAAGTCGCCAAGCCTGTCAGAGCCAGCGGGGTGGGAACGCCACAGAAGGAAGCGTGGCCCGAGGCGGTGGGGACCTGCCAATCTTCAGTCCCGTCTTTAAGGAGCAGCACCCGCTGGGGGAGGGGAGTCCCTGCCACCCCAGGCTCCTCCCCGCAGGGCCCCCAAGTGCAACCAGGACCCAAGAACATCCTGAAGTCTGTCAGACCACCTTCTGCCACTTACACGACCACAAACACGACAATGAGTGGCAAACCTCGGTGGGACCCTGAGGGAGGCCTGGGGATAGACCCTCTCCCTGCAGGAGACCCCTGACCGCTCAGGGGAACCACGGCCTAGCAGCCTCTCTGCCCGACCCCCCAGCCCCGTCTCCGGTACCCTCGGTGACGGGCCGCAGACCCTCCACGGTCAGGAGCCCCACCCGGAGGAGCCAAGACCCCAGCCCCTCTCCCCGACAAGGTCCCTTCAGAATTAATGGGAGGGGACCTGACAGGTGCTTCTCGCTGACAGATGCTGAACTAGACACTCAAGCACCTCTGCTCAGCCCCACTCCCCTCGAGGCTGTGGGCTTTGTTTGCTCCGTGCCTTAGTTTACCCCGAACGAGGAGGCTATGGTGCAGGTTGGGGGAGGCTCCGCCCTGGGCCTGGGCCTGGGCCTGAGCAGTAACTGGGGAACTTACCCAAGCAAACCTTTGCGTGGAATCTCCCCTCACTTCGGGAGGGAGCGGGAGTGAAGAGGAGTTAGTGACAAGGGCCGGCCAGCTCCTGCCTAGACGATGACGAGGCAGCCCTGGGACCTTGTGGAGGTATGGGCCTCATGCTGCCCAGAGCCGTGGCCTCCACCAGGCCACTCACCGGTCTTGTCCCTGGGCCCTGGGACGCGCCCAGGGCTGCGCTGAGAGTGCAGGGAAACGGACCCGCGGGGCGCGGAGGGCCCAGGGCTGGGAGGGGCAGGCCGGGCCGCTGACCCGGGCGGGGCGGCGCGCTAGGAGCCCTCGCGGAAGCTGTGGATCTGCGTGGAGAACTTCTGCAGGTGGCCCTCGGGCGGGGCCTCGGAGGCCCCGAGCGCGCCCCGGGCCGCCTGCTGCGGCTGCTGGCAGTGCTGGTAGAGCTTGGGGACTGGCCCGTCCAGGCCCGGGAGGCGGCCGCTGGACATGGTCAGGATGGTGGCGGTCAGCGACTTGATGTAGTTCTTGGCCAGCGTGAGCGTCTCGATCTTGGAGAGCTTCTTGTCGGCGCGCACGTGCGGGATGACCTCGCGCAGCGCCTGGAAGGCGTTGTTGAGCTTGTGCATGCGCTGCCGCTCGCGCTCGTTGCTCTCCAGCCGCCGCTGGACGCTGCTCTCCCGCCGGCTCCCTGGCCCCGGCCGCCGGCGCCCACCCTCTGCCCGCGCCCCCTGCGCGCGCGCCCTCCGGCTCCGCAGAGCCTTGGCCGCGTCTGGCCCCGAGCCCGGCGGTGGCCTGTCGGGCGTCCGCTCCCCTGGGGTGGCTTCTGGGTCTTGCGGGGGCACCCGGCGCCGGGGAGGCCGGCTCTTGGTCTTCATGGCTCCAGACTGGTTGTCCTGGGGGGGGGGGGGGGGGGGCCCGGGGGGGGGGGCCTTTGGAGCTGAAATCCAGAACACAGGCCACCCCGCGGTTACTCGGCAGGCCAGTGGACGCTCAGGGCAGCGGTCCCCCGTGGCGGCTGCCCAGCTGGTGCACAGTGACCTCAGGGTCCTTCCCAGTCACTCGCAGGGCCCTGAGCTGACCCCACCCCACCCCCCATGCCCCTGTTTGACCTTACACTGACCCCTCAGACCTTTCCCTGGTCTGGTGGCCCCCTCTCCCCCCTGGGTGACACGTATTGACCCCTGGACCTTTCTCCGGCCCCATGCCCCTCACTGCCTCCTGAGTGCCTCCTGGGCTTAGGTGGCCGTTGACACTTGGCTGAGACCGCCTAGAGGCGCGGCCCCATCCTAGCCCAGGGCAGGCCCTCTGCCCGAGGCTGCACTACCTCCTGGTCGCCTGGACGGACAGGCACCAACTCCGGCCACTACACTCACAGTCCTGCCCCACTGGACGTCACACATGCAGGGACAACACTGGTGCCAGAATGGCTGTGGACGTGAGGAGGCCGTCGGAGGTCAGAGGCGGACGGTGACCAGAGCCCGCCGCAGTCCCCAGGCCCAACGCGTGGATGGCGGCGGCCAGAGCTCGAGACCCGGACCCTCCACCCAGGTTTCCCTCCAGACGCCACCCGGCCCTGCCCCAGGGTCCTCTCCCCGCCGCCCCACCTGCACCCCAACCCCGTTACCTGGGGATCCGTGGCCGCACGCGCTGGGGCTGCCCACGGGGGCAAGGACACGTCGCTTTAGGCGCCGCGGGCGGGGCGGCGGCCGCATGTAAATGAGCCCGTGGGGCGGGCGCGGGGCGGGGCCGGAGTCCGCGTGTCCCCGCCCCGCGGCGGGGGCGGGGCGCACCTGCCGGCTGGGGACCTGGGGCCCCTCCCCGCCCGCCCACGAAGGGTTCCCGGGCCGCCTCCCCGCCCCGCGCAGGCCCCCGGAGCCAGTTCCGCCGGCCTCGCTGCGAGCCGGCCTGCGCGGAGGGGAAACACCTGGCCGCCGCACCTGGCCTTGGGGTTAAGGCTCAGCACACGGGGCCAAAGTCAGATTCGTGGAAAAGCCGTTTTGCGGTAATACGAGTTTCTCAAACGGGCGGCGGCCACAGCCCCGAAGAGCAATAGCCCAGGCACCCCCGCGCCCTCACCCCGCGTTTCGGGAGGACCCTGCAGCACCGGGGGCTTGAGGACCCGACCCCGCCACGCCCGCGGCGCCGGGCCAGGTGCGAGCCGGCGGAGCCCTGCCCGGGGAGCATCTGCCCGGCCGCCTGTGGGCAGCTCACCGAGAAATAACTGGTCATCGGTTTTAGGTCTCCAGGGGCTAGAGGCAGCTCGAGCTCAAAACCGGCTGCCACCCACCTGCTTTACTTCATCGTCCCCTGCCTCAGTTTCCTCACCTTTGACCGGAGCACTCACTATAAGGCGTTAAAAGCAGCAACTGCACAGGGGTCTTGGGGGCTGATGGGAGGCGCCGGAGCGCAGCAGGACCCGCGGCGGCACACGGTCCTGGGCTCCCACCGGCTGCGGTCCTGCAGGCCCAGGGTCTACGCTGGCCCCGCACACTGCCACTCGCTGCCTGTCTTGGGCTCTGGGAATGGGAGTGCACAGGTCTCCTCCATCTACTCCCCGAGGGTCACTCTGCAGTTGGTGTAACCTGAGCTGGGGCCAGGCCCCTATTTTGGTACGTACGAGGAGGCCCATTTCCCTGCTTGTGACAGCTGGGACCAGGACAGCAAGGAGGGGACACTCGGGGAGCAGAAAGGCTGGTTTTGAGCTGATTAGCCTCTGGGCTTAGCGCTCCTTAGAGGCTGGATCTCAGAAATTAAAACGCTTCTGGGACTTCCCTGGCAGT